GTGGCATTTTTTAGTTATATAGCTTTACTAGTTAAGACAATCATAAATTATTTACTTGGTTTATACGAAAACAACTCGACAAATCCACCATCTACAAGAATTAGCTTATCAAAGTATTACAAATCAAAAACGTTAAAGATAATTCGTCATTGCTTTGAGGCCCAAACCCATGAGCCTAGGCCCATCAAATATTCTCACAATAAGTTTTTTCAACACTACACGTAACAATCAATTGCAGTGATAAATGAAATTCTCAACGTTCTCAACGTTGACAACTAAATGAAAATCTCAACCACAAAAATGTCAAATTCGGTTCTTGAAAACCATCAATGCACTTTCTCTACCCAATCTCTCTTAAATTCAATGCATTCATCACCTAACCATATTCATTTAACCATCAGTAAGATCAGAGTAATCAACAACAGAATTTTCAATTCCACAATCTTTTCATGTATGCAAACAAGACTAGAGAGTTTAGATATTTACATTGTGTTGAATCATAAACAAATGTATCTATAAATCAACACTTTAAGATAAAACACCCCCAACTGTTAGTCCAAGTAAGCTGCGCGGCATTGGCTTTGCCACTCGAAACAATCTTCATAATCGAAGCTACTCGCGCAATCCAGCAACGCGGTCTGTTGCTGTTCGTAATGACAAATGTAGTTTAACCCAACAAGAAGCTTACATATCGCAGCTTCTGTCTTCTCTCTATCAGCAAAGTAAAGCGTCTGAAGTAGAAGAACGTTTGTTCGCTTCACAATCTGATTGTGCTGCTCGAAATTGCGTTCGCTCTGCCATCTGATCATGTTGTGGGCTAATGGGGCAAGCCAGGATAGTATACCGTCTATTGTTTCTTTCCAGTCGTGAGCTAGAGGAGCGTCGTAGATCGAAATATTCTTCAAGTATGACCTGAGATTAGCCTTGAGCATTGTTTTCAAACTCGTTGGTAGCATTTGGTAAAGATCGTCTCTTGCTTCTTCGCCTATTAGATGAGGGTACTTCAGAAGCTTCTCTAACACAATCACTACATTCGCATAGTGCAAAGATAAAGCAGATCCTCCAATCGTTGAAGCTGATGCGTGTTGAGTTAATCTGCTTTTAGAACTAAACTTACTAGTTTGCATTACTCGAGCTGTGTTTAGAGGAATCGTGATCTGAAT